TTATTTATACACATAGTATTTAACTTGTTCGATACTTTGATATGATTAGTTGTAGTGTATATTGTGATTACCTGCGTGAGATTGTTTGACCTGAATGATTGTATGGAAGCTTGTTGTTCTATCACCTAGTTGTTATCCAACAAGAGAGACTGTACATGAAGACGACTTCTGTTAAAAGTATGATTTATAAGCGTGCTTCAAAGCATGGCTATACTCACTCGACATCGATATCCCGATGTGAGGAGTCCCGAGTTCCCTCGATATCGATATCCCGGTATGAGGTTTCCTTGACTATTACTATTATAGCATTGACTAGATGATGCACTCTTGATCGGACGTGTTGTGGATCACGGTTATGTTCATAGTTTTACAGAAGTCGTTCCACGGTAACTCTGTGGCTAGTGCATAATATTTCATGTATAGTTGCGTAATTAATATGACAACATGGGGTTATAAAGGGGAATTGGACGGAGAATATATTATGTATATAAACGGGCACAACGCTTTCCTGTTATCGTGATATCGTGAGTGTTATATATATGGGCCAGAGGGCCAGTACTTGACTTGATGGCGGCCCCCGGACAGGTTTACGGGGACCCGATTATATACATCAAAATATTCTTCCCCAATTCAAATAGCATGTAAAACAAGAATAATATGCTTGTGTGTTTTATGGTGAACTTTGATAGTTTTGTTGAGATGTAGATCGGTGTTGTTCTTTTCATACATAGATCGGGATTAGGTTGAGGAGAAATGTTTATTTTTATTTATTCTTCTTAATCTAATACGTTGCGGGCTTGTTCACGTTCCGATTCTCTGTATTTTGGAAAGCGGGGCGTGACAAATAGTGAAGAGAAGATCTTCATATTCAAAGTCAAGGTGAAGATTTGTTAATTGACTTTGAAATTCAACTCACACCTACCAAACCAAACTTCACTGTTTCACCAAACCCCAAATGCTATTCCACCAACTCAAAGCACTATTCTACCAACCCTTTTGAAGGCTATAAATAGAGGAGAGTTGTGAAGGGTTAGATCATTGAACAGAAATTCAAAACAGAGAGAAGAAAGAGAGATTTAGAGAGAAAAAGAAAAGAGTTTCTTTGAGTGTTGTCTTCTTTGTGTGAGTTTGATGAGACATTAGAGTGATATCTCTTTGTAATCTTCTCATTTATGATTAGTGAAGTTCTCTGTTGTTCTCACCCGTGGACGTAGGTCATACTGACCGAACCACGTTAAATCATTATGTGCTGTAATCTTTGTCTTTACTGTGTTTATTCAGTATTGTTATTCTCCACTCTTGTATAGACATCTTCTGTGTCTGTGAAGCCCCCTATTGTGCGCGGCGGAAGCCTCGAAGTGACACGAACAAGAATAAGAGATAAATCACAACTAATAAGCTAAACACAATACCATAGCAAGACAACGAGTTTAACGTGGTTTGGCAAGTTGCTTAAGTCCACGGGGCAAGGAGGGGGTGTAGGCGTTAAAAATTACCTATAGGTCCCCGAACACAGCTTGAGACAAAGAGAAGACGATGAACGTCATTAAGGATTATCCGACACCGACAATCGCATGAAGCGAATCGGCGAACCGTTGATGACATGATAACGAACCACCACAACGGCAAACTCCAAGTGGCCTGCACGCGTCAATCAACTCAAAGCGTCCAAACACGCCCAACAGTCAGTTAGCACGCGCGCATCATTCAGCTCATGCGCGTCAATCAGTTCGCGTGCTTCTATCAGCTCGCACGCGTCGTTCAACACGCGCGCATCATTCAGCTCGCGCACGTCAGTCAATACAAACGTGCCAATCAGCATGCTGGCATCAATCAACACACGTCAATGAACTCGCACGGAGCGTTCAAGTCAACAAGACGATCAAATATGTAAAACGGTGAAAAATACAAGTCCCGGAAAAACCAGAAAACACCAGAGCTCAGCAAAACGTCAAAACACCGCGTTCGCACGGGTCGGACCGCGTCCGACTCACAGCGCGCCGCGGCCGGCCCAAGTCTGACCCCGCCGCGCGCGTTGGGACAGGACCAATCCCGACCCGCGCCCGCGCGGCTCCGTACGCTGTTTCAACCCCTGTTCGGTTTTTGACGGTTCTTCTTGGGATTTGTTCGTTCTTGAGCATCCAAACTGATCTGATATCATCCCCAAACGTTGTTAATCAGTTATTAACTGAATATAAGGAGGAATCATTCATTCTCATCCGAAAACCCCCAACCGAAGCCTATAAATACAAGCCTAGGGGCTCATTTCACAGGGGGATTAATTATCAAGACGAGGAGGTGCTGCCGAGCTGGAGAGCAAGGGAGCACGAATTTCAACAAGGGCTAACAAGATCCCAATGAATCCCAACATAAAGAAGGAGCAATTCGATGGATCTGAAGCCTGTTCCCGTCCGTTCCTCGAGATTAGGCTTGGTCTTAATCTCGAGAAGAGCTACTGATTTCGCTTGGTCGATTTCAGCGCTTTAAGAAAATACCTCCTTGGTGAGGTAGGAGCTCTGCCGAATTTTTTTCGCTTGGTCGATTTCAGCGCTTTAAGAAAATACCTCCTTGGTGAGGTAGGAGCTCTGCCGAATTTTCAGTAACCAGATCTGATCAAAGGTGGTCCACGGATAAACCCCGGCACAGGCGAAGACACCCACACAAGCAGGAGACGTTAAACGGATCTTACGTTTATTTTCAAGAGAATTGTATCTTTTATTTTTATTGTGTAAAGGTCTTATAAAAACACCGGTCTTTTTGAACTTATTGTAACGATCAAAGTTGTAATGAGTTATACAATGAAGAAAACAATTTTCGACGAAAATAAACTGGCGACCACAGTGGGAGCCAACGGTCTCGCTGCCGAGGCCGTCGTGTCGCAACCGATGATTAAGATCCCGGTTGAAGAGGTGATCGAATACAAGTTAGACTAACAGAAGTACGAAGAATACCTCTCGTCCTCCTCCTCCAGATCCTCTGCTTCTCACAAGCGCAGGAAGATCAACGCTCCCGTTGCTGCGGTAGCTGAATCTTGCAACGCCCTTCCGGCCTCCAACGAGTCCGGATCTGTAGATCTAAACTCCTCCTCAATCAAGGAGTTGAGTACAGGGGGGGGGGGGCGGGGGTGATTAGGATCTTATGCTAATCTAATCCGATTTTATGCCAATAAAAACTATTAATAAGTTATCCTAGCAAGATTGAAATATAATAAGATAAATGAGCTAGGATAAGCAATATGAACAACAAGATATGTCCTAACAAAGAGATATAGACAATGTATGTGCAAGGATATATAAACAACACAAGGGTAAATAATCTAAACTAGATAGTGGACAAACTAAATAGTGAGACAATGACGAAATGAGCAATGAGCACAAATAAGAATAAAAACTAGATAGTGGACAAACTAAATAGTGAGACAATGACGAAATGAGCAATGAGCACAAATAAGAATAAAGTCCAAGGCACACACAAACACAATCAAACGATCACGGAGTTTGGATCTTCCGTCCTACGTCTCCGCTCCCCACTCCCGGGGAGAAATCCACTATCACAATCCGGTTTGGAAGCCGGAACTTCTACACACTCGGTTTTCTAGCTAACCGAAAACTCTACAACTCACACTCTTGCAAACTCACTCTACACCCTCACAAGTGTTGGACCTAGCCGTGTCTCCCTCAAGTGCTCGGTTACAACCTCTCCCTAGGTTCGTCAACCGACGCCACTCCTCTTGGGACGATCCCGACTCTCACCACACACTCCTCTCGGTGTACAAGTGTATTACAAAGTAATCTCACGATTAAGCACAATACAACTAATATGGATTAGAACACAATAAAAGCTCACACTCAATTATTAAAACTCTCACCAACCCAAATATACTATGTATGTAAATACAATAAGCTTAAGTGGGTGTGTGTGTAAACAATGAGTAAATCAACATCAAACTAAACTCAATACAAATGCTAGCTTATGGAAATGTAAATCAAATGTATAAATAGCTAGATATGAGTTTAGAGATTCTTCTCTGAATAACAAGATGGAGAGATGGATTAAAAGGAAGCTCAAACAATGTAGATGATCTCCTCCACTTGTGAACCAACCAAAAACAGCTTTAAACCAAACATAAACCCCTGTTAAAACTTTTTTAAACTTGTTTAAAATATCCCATTGGTTACTGAGATAGAAGAGGGTTTGGGGGTTTATATAGGAAGAGGAAGCAACAGCAAAAACCCCAAAGGAAAAGACCAAACAGACCAAGAATCAGAAATATGATTCTGTATCAAAAGAGCCGTTGGGATAAACGGCGGTCAACCGCGAGCAACAAAAACAACAGGAAAAGCTCCAGAGACTTCGGCGGTCGACCGTGGTGGTCGACCGTGGACAATCTCGAGCTCACGGTCGACCACGGCGGTCGATCGTGAAAGTCTCTGCTGCCGACACTGACAGAATGAACTCAGGCGCGGTCAGACCGTGAACTGATATATGAAAATCCAGGTTTTAAACACAGTTTACTGATTTTAAAACACTGTTTAAAAATATCAAATAAATTCCAAAAAATGTAAAACTTTGGGGAATGATTATCAAATAAATTCCAAAAAATGTAAAACTTTGGGGAATGATTGTAGACATGATAATAAACATGCTACACTTCAAATATATTAGTTCGATAAGGGAAAATTACAGAAACCACCCTATGATTTCTAGAAATGACAGAAAATCTCTATGCAGTTTTAAACTCAGAGTTCTACCCCTTCTTTTTTGAATTTCCATCGAACAGGCTCACATGTGTATCATGTGACTAGTTAAATAACAAAAATACCCGTATTTCTTTTCATAGGGGAAGAAACAACAAGCAAGGGAATTTCTGACATTGGCAATGCAATTCTTCAGACACGTAAACTTAGGAAGCACAAATTACAATAAATAACTGCTTACCATAAGAAACCACACTCTTCAATTAAAGAAAAACTACAAACATGCATATGATATCACTAACAACTGTTTTACACAATTGAATTGGTTTCAGGTTATTGGCAAGATGAGAGCTTTGATGAGTGATGATTCAATTAACATTCCAAATAAATCCTTTTTGTTGGATGATGATTCGAGGTAAAGACCAAAAATCCAATTCCTATGTTCCCTAAGGCCTAATTCCATTTTGATATAACATGCTAAGAAAGGGTTGTCTCATATCAGACACTAAACTACATATATATTTTCCCATTTTATCCCCATGAATCTTCATATTTTTAAAGGATTTATGGATGGGATTGAGAATATGAAGATTTTGGGGTTCCAAAGTGGAAGTATGATAGAAATTAGGATCTCATATGAGAAAACCCAATTAGAACTAAGAGCAAGAATTAGTATTTGCAACTTTTATTTGACTTACCTTTTCTAAACAAACCAAAATACTTGCAGTATCCCTTTCTCCTTGGATGATATCTCTCGGTCAGTTCTCGACATAAATCTTTCAGATGTTGAACCGCCACCATTACTGCGACAAAATTCTGAATTCCATTTCCTCTTACAACAGCACATAGATTGAATGATTTTCTTTTCTTTATATTTTTAACAAAAAGAAAAGAGTTGTAATTTTTCAGGGTATTTTTTAAGTGTGCAGAGTGTAATTTTGTTTTTGTTTTTGTTTTTTTCCCATATATTCTTTCTCCTCCTTCCATTTGATAAGCCTCACTGATTTTTTGAGTGTGTGTAGCCATATACGAGTGGATGTGTTACAGGGATTGTATGTAAAAAACAGGATTGGTTTTGCTTTTGCACGTTGCAGTAAAGAAGTTTTACTTTGTAATGCTTGGGCTGTTTGAGTTTAAAAATGACAAAAAGATTGAAAAAAGATTAAAATATATATATATATATACTTCCTGAAGGAAGTATCTTAACACTATAGCCATCTGTGAATTAATTGCGTGGAACATATGTGACTCTAAATAATTTTACAATTTTATGTAGTTTTGTTCTTTTTCAACCAAATTCTGAATAAATATTCTATAATATCAGTGCGATGGAGAATCATTTGCGATAAAATTTTGATAGAGAATACACAAAATATGCAGTCTTAAGACTGAAGCGGAACCAAAGACCTACATGCCTCAAGATTGGAATCTCTTCTAACACAACAACAATGGCTAATAACAAAATTATGAGGTAGATTACTTATCTGTAAAATTTCACCATGTAGGTGGGATACAGGGAAAAGTCATAATACAAACAAAAATGAAGTTGCTCTCTATCATTGTATGGTATGGACTCTTCTTTCGTAAAAGATTTATCATCGATTATCTTGGATGGATCTTCTGCGTGGAGTAAAATGGACAAAATGCTTTTGGAACTAAATCTAGGTGCTTTGCAAGTTCGTGCTAAGATTCCCTATTTGTAAGAGATATTGTTAAATTGACTTTGAAATTCAACTCACACCTACCAAACCAAACTTCACTGTTTCACCAAACCCTAAACATTATTTCACCAACCCAAAACACTGTTCCACCAACCCTTTTGAAAGATATAAATAGAGGAGAGTTGAGAAGGCTTAGAGCATCGAACATAAATTCAGAACAGAGAGAAGAAAGAGAGATTTAGAGAGAAAAAGAAAAGAGAGTTTTTTGAGTGTTCTCTTCTTTGTGTGAGTTTGATGAGACATTAGAGTGATCTCCCTTTGTAATCTTCTCTTTTGTGATTAGTGAAGCTCTCTGCTGTTCTCGCCCGTGGACGTAGGTCATACTGACCGAACCACGTTAAATCCTTATGTGTTATTCTCTTTGTCTTCACTGTGTTTATTCAGTGTTGTTATTCTCCACTCTTGTATAGACATTTTCTATGTCTGTGAAGCCCCCCGCTGCAACAAAATGGTACCAAATCCTAACTTAGAGTACGTGTATCTACTTATCGTATGCTTTGTAGCTGCTACTAAAAGTGGATCATCCACATCAGAAAAAAAGTTAGATTATCATTTACTCTTTAAAAGCATTGGACACTATTCATGAACTGTTCACATGTACGGTTATTATTCAAAAGTACGATTTCTGCTCATAATTACAGTTACTGTTCTAGTGGGCTTCAAGATGTCTTCTGTACAAAATGGAGAAATTCGATGGGAGAAACAACTTCAGTTTGTGGAGAGTAAAAATAAGGGCTCTTCTAGTACAACAAGGACTGTTCAAAGTCTTATCCAAAAAGAATAAGTTATCAGAATCTATGCCTGATGATGGGAAAGAAGACTTGGAGATGAAGACGCATAGTGGCATACAGCTCTGTTTGGTCGCTGAGGTCCTGCGGGAGGTTGCCAATGAAGATATCACCGCCAGATTGTGGCTCGAATTGGAGAGCTTGTACATGACGAAATCTCTAACGAACAAGATCTACTTAAAGCAACGCCTCTTCACCCTTCGCATGAAGGAAGGTATGCGAATTATAGACCACTTAGATGAACTTAACACTATTCTTATGGATTTAAAGAATATTGATGTTAAATCGACGAAGAAGATCAAGCCTTTATCTTGTTATGTTCGTTACCTCCTTCCTATGAAAATTTTGTCAATAGTATGCTTTATGGTAGAGATACACTTTTTAGGGAGGATGTCAAATCAGCCTTACATTCAAAAAAATTAAGACAGAAGTGTTTGTAGTAGGAGGAGAGGATCAAGCTGAAGGCTTATTCGCTCGTGGTCGTCCTAAAAAAGGTGTTGGTGGTAGAAGCAAAATCTAAAAATATTTCTAGATCAAAGTCCAGGCCAAGAAAAAATAGTGAATGTTATTACTGTCATAAGTATGGTCATATAAAACCTAATTATCCAGCGCTCAAAGTAAATGATAATTCACAGTCAAAGTCTGGGGAGGTGAAACATTCAGTTGTCACTATAACTGAAGAGTCTTCTAGTTCACATGAAATTCTTTCAGTTAGTGTTAATACTCATTCACAAGATGAGTGAGTTCTTGATTTGGGTTGTTCCTACCATATGTATCCGTATAGGGATTTGTTTGTCATATATCAGTCTATCGACGATGGGAATGTCTTGTTGGGAAATAGCATGCCTTGTAAGACTGTTGGTATCAGATCAATTAAGATTAGAACCCATGATGGTATTGTTAGAACATTGAGCAATGTCCGACATATACCAGAGTTAAAGAAGAACCTTATTTTTTTTACGCACCCTTGACTCAAATGGTTTTAAGTTTTCGGCTGAAGGTGGAGTTTTGAGTTAGTAAAGGTTCTCTTATTATGATGAAAAGAAAGAAGGTAAATACCATATATGTTCTTGATAGCAGCATAGTGATAGGTGCTGCAACAGTATCATCCTCAGAGGATTCATATTCTGACACTACACATTTGTGGCATATGCGGTTAGGGCATATGAGTGAGATAGGACTAGATGTATTGAGAAAACAAGGTCTGCTTTATGGTCAGAAAACTAGCAAACTAGACTTTTGTGAGCATTGCGTTTTCGACAAATACCATAGTCTCCTTTAGTATCGGTGTCCACAGAACCAATGGTACTTTAGATTATATCCATTCAGATATTTAGGGTCCCTCTTAGGTTCTATCGAAAGGTGGAGCTCATTTTATGCTAACATTGATTGATGATTATTCCAGAAAAGTTTGGGTGTATCCTTTGCAGTATAAGAGTGTTGTGTTTGCAACCTTCAAGCAATGAAAGGTTATAATTGAGAAGCAAATTGGAAAGTAAGTGAAGCGCCTCAGAACCGACAACAAGATAAAATTTTATTCCTCAGAGTTTGACCAGTTCTACAAGAATGAAGGTATTGTACGTCATCATGCAGTTCGGCATACACCATAGCAAAATAGAGTTGCAGAAAGGATGAACAAAATACTTTTAAAGAGAGCTCGGTGCATGCTCTCTAATGCCAGTTTGTCAAAAGACTTTTGGGCCGAGGTAATTAATACAGTTTGATATTTGATAAACAGATCTCCTTCTACAGTAATTAATTTTAAGACTCCAGAAGATGTATTGTCTGGTGCTCCTGCTAATTACTCTCATTAAGAGTATTTGGTTGCTTTGCTTATAATCATGATATGATGGTAAGTTTGAACCTAGAGCAAAGAAAGCTATCTTTCTAGTATATGCTACTGGTGATGAAGGGATATAGGTTGTGGTGTTCTGATCCCAAATCACCTATGTTTATTACTAGTAGAGATGTTACTTTTAATGAGAAATCCATGCTTCACCGGATAAAGAAGTTTGTTATTGATACCACAGGTACTGAAAAGGAGTCTAGCAAGCAGGTGGAGCTAGAGAGCTCAACTTCAAAGAGAGTGCTTGAGGGCGCTCATGTTGAACCAGTTGATACTGCGGAAGGTTCAACCTCAGATGCTGACACACCGCAAGAGCAGCAATATAATATTTCCACCGGGAGAACAAAAAGGCAGATCCGACCTCCTCAACGCTATGCAGACTTGCTTGCTTACGCATTGAGTATAGCAAAATCGATTGTGATTCCAGTTCCTTCTACTTATAAGGAGGCTATTAGTGGTAATGAAGCTGCAAATTGGACTAGTGCGATGACTAAAGAAATGGAGTCTCTTCACAAGAACCAGACATTGGAGTTAGTAAAGCCACCAAGGGGACAAAAAATTATTGGCTATAAATGGGTATTCAAAAAGAAAGATGGAACTCTAAATGTAGATTCTGTAAGGTACAAGGCATGCTTTGTAGCTAAAGACTACAGTCAGACAGAAGGTGTAGACTTCAATGAAGTATTCTCTCCAGTTGTAAAATACATCTCAATCCTCATGTTGCTTATCATGGTTGCCCATTTTAATTTGGAGCTTGAGCAACTTGATGTAAAGACGGCTTTTCTACATGGCGAACTTGAGGAGCAGATCTTTCATGTTTGAAACAGTCTCTGAGACAGTGGTATTTAAGATTTGATACTTTCATGTTTGAGCATGGTTACCTAGGAGTAAATACGGTAGTTGTGTTTATCATAAAAAGCTCAATGATGGTTCTTTCATATATTTGCTTCTGTATGCTGATGACATGTTGATTGTAGCTAAAGATATGTCAGAAATCAATGAGTTATAATCTCAACTCAAACAAGAGTTTGAGATGAAGGACTTGGGAGCAACAAAGAAGATTTTGGGGATAGAGATACACAGGATCGGGCGAGAAGGAAGTTTATTCCTATCTCAGAAGAAATACATCAAGAAGGTGTTAGAGAGATTTGACATGCTTGATGCTAAGCCTGTAAAAACTCTGCTTGCTGCTCATTTTCGTCTTTTAGCAGATTTGTCACCTCAGACTGAGGAGGAGGAGCACTACATAACTTGTGTTCCTTATGCTAGTGCAGTTGGAAGCATTATGTATGCTATGGACCCATCTAGATATTTCACATACAATCAGTGTTGTGAGTCGGTATATGGATAAGCCTAGAAAGGTCCATTGGCATGCTGTGAAATGGATACTTGGATATTTGAGAGAATCAACAAATATTGGTTTATATTTTGGTAGGAACACAAACTCAGATTGCAGAATACTTGGCTATTCTGATTCAGATTATGCGTGCGATTTGGATAAGAGGCGATCCCTACCAGGTTATATATTTTTTCTTTCAAGAAGTGTCATTAGTTGGAAGGCGCCTCTACAGTCAACAGTTGCTTTGTCTACCATAGAGTCAGAGTATATGGTAGTGACAGAAGCAGTGAAAGAAGTCATTTGGTTAAGAGGTTTGGTTAAAAATCTCGGCTTACACTAAGGTGTTGCTACGGTATTTTGTGACAGCCAGAGTGCTATACATTTGACA